ATACTAATCGTTGACCATACTTGGGCTTATATCGAAACGTCGGTACTCATCTTCATAGCGAGAACTTAATTCATTCTCGTCGATTTTATAAAAACATAGTTACCTCCGGGGTTTGACATGTTAAATACCCATTATTTATCATACATCCTTTACTTTTGTAACACTATTTGGAGTGATAGAGGTTTATTTCATATACTTTTATCTTGGACGTGTTAAAGTTTTCAATCTACGTTATCGATACTTAGTTCTAACGAAATCCGCTAGATCGCGTTGCTGAAGAAAGTGGAGTTACAGTACAGCGCAATTAAGCGGGTAATTTAAACAATACATATATATAGTCTTAGCTCTCATCTTGGATACTTTGCACGGTGTAACTGCGTTTAAATCTATAAACCCATGTTGTTATTTTGTTTTCGTTTAGTATATTTGTTATTCATAAAATTGTTCAACTATTTTGACCAAATATTACAATATTTTGATAACAACAATTACAACAATCCTGATCAAGAAGTTATATCTAGTGAAGCTAGAAATGCAAAAAATGTTAGCAGCAAAATATAGGGATACCAGAATCAAGATTTCATTTTAAGATATATTGCACTAGTTATAATTATATAATCCTATATATTTTCGTCTAAGAACCTTCAGTGAAATACTGGCTTTCATTGAAGCTATTATTTATTCAAATCGGACGAGTTTCAAGCAAACGCAAGGTGAACAACCAACATAAAAATTATTTTTCATTCAGTTTTTCTGTGATTAAAAATTAATAGCTCCAGCTATTGTTCATTTTTTCATATATGTTTTAGACCCGAAATAATCAGTAAATTATAGGCTTTAATTTGAGCTATTGATCGTTTGAATCAGTTAAGCTCAATGTACTATGATACTCAATCAAAAGTCATAAAAATGATTATTTTTTTATATTATATTTATTTTAACGCTGCGGAGCATCATGGGTCCTCTAGTTAATACATAAAACGATTTACGAGGATTGACAATTTCTATAGTTCTATTATTACCTTTTCTTGATTTACTGTATTTAAAAGTCAACAGCTGATCTTATATGCCTTTGTTTATGTATGGAACACTGATTCATAAGGATTAAATTAAAACTTTGAAACCCCGTAGGGTGGATTCCTGGGAGAGCTTTTTAATGCCATGCAGGTGTTGGCACTCGTTGATATTGTTTGTTATTGTCATCATAAAAGATTCTAACCACTGTTAGTAGGCCTATTCCATATAAAACTAATAGACCAATACGGCACATAAAAAAGACACCATCAGCCTTCAAATGCTTTACATAATTGCTGTATGACTTGACTAGTATCTAGTACTTAATGAATAAGTAATGAAACTTTTACTTAACCCGAGGCATTTTTAAGATTTTAAAGAAATTTTTATACACAAATCTTCTTTTTAGTGTGATTTTGTTCATTAGCTAACATTTTCCAATATCTTTTAAATAAGGAAAACATTCGCATGACAATAACGTGTAGCGGATATATCTTTAACCTGGCCTGGATAAATAAAATAATCATTGTGTCAAAATCGAAAAATATTTTAAAAAATAATGTTAAAACAATGTTAAAGTGAAATGTATCCACTCAAAACTTGTAATATGTACTCAAAACTTAAAAACACAAATCATAAGTCAATTGACAGTAAATAGAATAGTTGTCTGTTTAGTTTATTAAAACTCACACTTAACTATGCTGGTGACAGGGCCGGATTTCCCAATAGGCCCGGTAGGCCCGGGCCTATGGGCGCAAGGTCCCAGAGGGCGCACGGCCGAGAGTATTTTTTTTATACCTAGGCTATCTAAAAATAAAAAAATAAATAGTCACAGTTGATAAAAAAAAACTACAAAGCATTGTGATTCTGAAGTTCATAGGAAGAAATAATTGTTAGGAAATCTAAACTATTTTTCAGAATTACGCATCAATTTCGTTACAAAATTTGTAACGAACATTGGTTATACGGGAGTAGGCTGTAGGAATGTTGACGTTGACGAGCGCCCAAGGGGTATACGCATCGTATTGCCACTGCACTGCCACTATGCTGGTTTGGGCTCGGCACTACTGATCAGAGTGATTAGGGGCGCATGCGTGCTAGACATTGTTAGGCCTACTACCCTCACCTCACAAAACAAAAGTTATTAACTAATCTTTTGACTTTTGATTAGTTTACAACAATCTGCAGGATCAAGTTAATAAGTTGTGTTGAATATTAAAACAACGATGAATTTAGCTTTAAAATTAACCAAAAAATATTAATCTCAGTTTGCAATAGGTTTTAGAAAAATTCAATACCCTCCAAAGCACCAATAATGCTGTCATTTTCTCCTCAGACCTAAGGATCGACGGTTGGCCAGAATATTTCTCTGTTTTGCTTTGGAAATATATAACCTAGATGCAGTACGACCATAGATTAAATATAACTCAAGTCGACTTCTTATGACATTGTTAATTCAAAATTTTTTCATGTCTAGTTCATGTTGGTGACACTGGACGTTAGTTTTGACGTAATTTTGTTTCCATTATTTTAGGGTTAGTTCTATGATGTGTGTTTCAATTTCTTGTAATATAACCAGGAGACGACCTATTGTTGATGATTAGATCGTTTTATTTTGGATAAACTAGGTTTAAACATAGATCAAACATACTAGGTACTATCATAGATAAAACATACTCCTATTAAATAACAAGAATTGTTTTCAGCTAATCCGAAATGATGACAAATCTACTAAAGGAATATGTTTAATCTATGGTATCACGTACTGTATGGAGTTCATGTTTTTTGGCCTGGAATTGGAATCAATGGCCATGTTTTTTTTTCTCAGGAATGCTCGGTGGGTTCAGTTGTTTTGTTTCAGTCCCACGGCCACAAACGTGAGCATTTATTAAAAGCATAAAATTGCTAAAAGTGTTTAAGACGGCATTTTGTTAAGGCTATAAACAAGTCAATTCTTAAAAAAAACTTGCCATGATTCCAACGAGGAGTGGTATTCAAGCAATTAACTTAGGTCAATGGGCATGATATAGTTTTTAATAAAGGTTTGAAGGAAAGTAACTGTGACCAGACTAGGGGGCGGAAAATTATTTGGGCCTAGGGGCGCAAAAATGCTAAATCCGGCCCTGGCTGGTGATGGTCTAGATAAAAAGTATATCACATTTTACGTTAATTTCTGACCCATACATATCTGAAGATATGAATTGAAGTTTTCCCTAATTTAATTTCAAACATGCATTCCGGGTGAAATCTATACCACTCATGTCAAATATATGCTTCAGTGGAAATCAATCAATGTTTGTTGGAGACGAGAGGAAGTAAGAGCCTCTGATATTGATATCTATGAACACAGACTGAGCGTTGTATTTTGACGAACATATATAAAGTTCATTGAATGTACTAGAATTGCTTGTTGAATGTTGAGTATATTGAAATATTAGTACAGTACTGTATAAGGAAACAACTGTAAATAACAGTTACACAAGCTAAGAATGAATCTATAGCCTAATACTAAATAATTTGTGACGTCTAGAAGAGGTCAATAGTAGGAATGAATAGTACTATTTACCGAATACCGAGTATTCAGTGAGGCAGGCCGAGGCGCCGAATATTTGGCGGCCGAATATTTTAATTACCTCAGTTGTAATCATTTTTTATGTTTAGGTTTTAGCTATTACTCATAGACAAGTCACTACTTTGTCTCTATCTCCATTCATACTTGGCTTAAAATACCTACTTTGTATGGTCGCCATTTCATCAAAAAGAATTTAAGTAAAAGTATTAAAGTATTTCATTTGTTATAGTGACGAGAAGGGGTGAGATAGGTACATTGCAACTTCTACATTAGTTCTATTTCCGGAAGCATGAGCCAAAAAACTCAACCGTTTACAGCCAGAACGTGCAAGAAACTGGAATTAAATGAATTAATTATATATTTATTCCAACAAAGTATTTACAGAATTTGTACACAAATATAAAATATAAATACAAAAAAAACATAATTGAATTTAAAAGAATAAAATAAAATTAACCTTTTCGTTACATCTATGTTTAACAAAGCGTACATGTTTATAAGGATTAAGCCGACATGGGCAGCGAGCCTGTGCATCGACTATTCCGCCATTTTTGTTAGTTCGTCTAATTTTTATGTATGTTCGTTTTTTGATAGCAGCTGGAGTTATATTATCTATCTATATATTAATAGGCAAGCATGTTTCTTCAAACCTTTTTTCTCAGATCGTGTGCATCGTAGAAAAAATCTACGCATACTGTTAGAAAGCTATTTTCCTGTAGGTGTGCAGAATCCCTATATAAATTAAAATAGGCTTAAAAATAAGCACAAAAAATGAATTAAAATTTTGAAAAATTTAACATGGATATTATGAGTTGCCATGCTGGTGACGAAATAACAACGAAATATAAACAGAAAATCAAAACAAATGGAAGAAACTTCAATCACATGTTCTATTCAACGTGTGGAATGAAAATAAAGAAGTCTATACATGTCTATACATTAAATATTTTTAGTCGAGTTTCGACCACTGGACGACCTCTAGTTTAAATAATTATACGCATTCCAATCACTTTAAACTGCATTTCATCGGAATTAAATGTACATTATTTGAAAACGAAAAAAAACTGAATAATGTTGGCCAATAATGTTAAATCAATAATATTAACTAAGGATTTAATTTTTATCAAGTCCCCACATTTTTTTATGAAATAGGAGATTTTTGGAATGACTTTTGTCAAACTATAATTGTTTACCGTTACTCTGCGGCAGAATAACCTCAATTTTAATTTTTTTTTTTTTTTTTTTTTTTTTGCCAAGAATAATACTTTTTCATGTGGACTCCAAACAGTAGTAAAGCTTCATGATGCTTTGGACGCGCTGCGAATCAGTTTCAGATAAAAACTCGGGAAAATATCAGCTGTTTGTTAGTTTTGTTGTTTGTTGTTGAAAGTTGAGTTTATGTTGTTAAGTTGTTTACAAAACAATCACCGCTGAATCCCACAATTTGGAATTTAAAGATTTTTTATTCTTAATACTGTACCATATTTGTACAAATTCTACAAATTGTTATTTTTGTGATCTTTGAGAACTAAAATCCGTCAATTTAAACTGGTTATGTGCTCTGAAGAAGTGGAAGTCATTTGGACTTGGTGTAGCTCATCTGGACATTTTAAGAAGTGTGGAGTGTTTATTTGCAATATCTTTAAAGGAATTTACACAATATTGAGTGAGGTGTTCAAATTATCCTTAATACTAGCATTCTAATGATAAGAAGATTAAATGAGGAGTAACAGTCATTTTGCTATTAATATTGTAAGTTTGGGCAACAGTTTACAGGCTAGGCCTAGGTTTAACTTAGTGTAGCCTAGGCTAATATAATGTCCATCATGATGTCAACCATCTAGGGCTATAGCGTCTTGTGTTCCTGGTCAGGAACCGATGAAAACCTCCTTAGGGAAGGAGTGGCATGGCGGTTTGGATTATCTAGGGCTAAGTTAGTTTGAATATTCATCAAGAGTGGCTCTTCTAGCTCGGCCAACGAGTACAACGGCCTTTTCACCAGTGCTTTAAGGAGGGTCTTTTTAAAGGCTTAATCTTCAAGTCTCACAGTTTGTCTCTCTTTGAATTTTTTGTACAGGAATATACCATCAGAGATTAGAGATCTACAGGTAACTTAGGCCTATCTCTTCCAGTTTATAAACGTTGGGCAAGCAGTTGGCTGTCGGAGATTGGGCTCGATCAGTCTGAGACACTTATCAGTTCAGTACATAAAATACCTAACAATAATACACAAGTAGGGCCTACACCAAACAATATTTAGCGTACAGACATCAGTAGCTGCAACTCCATTCACTCGACTACCTTAGCATTAACTGTTCCTGTAGCTGTCTGATAGCTTAGTTGTAAATAGTATTTTGATTAATTTAGCCTAGTTTTAATTTTTAGATTATTTCTAACGAGAGGTCGTCCAGTGGTCGAAACTCGACCAAAAATATGTAATGTACTCACTTAACTATTTTCACCCCACACTGTAAATAAAACATGTGATTGGAGTTTCCTCCATTTGTTTTGATTTTCTGTTTATATTTCGTTGTTATTTCGTAACCAGCATAGCAACGCATAAGATCCATGTTAATTTTTTACAACTTTTAAACTTATTTTTTGTGCTTATCTTTGAGCCTATTTAAATTTATAATGGGATTCTGCACACCTACAGGAAAATAGCTTTCCAACGGTATGCGTAGATTTTCCCTACGATGCACACGAGCTGAGAAAAAAGGTTTTAAAGAAACATGCTTGCCTATTAATATATAGATAGATTTGTAATAGAGCTCGTCCCACGCACAGGTCTTTTACGGCCTATGCAGGACACTATTGTTCGTATATTGTAGGCCTATATATATTGTAAACAAAAATTTTTGGAAATAAAACAGATTTTGATTTGATTTGACAGTTTTGGGAAGGGTGTTAAAAATCTTGATAGCATACCGTGGGTAGCATTTCAGGGATCTGCTTGGATGACATCGGGGCCTATCAAAGTCTACGGCGTTTCGTGAATCATAAGTAGAATTAAGTAGACTCATTAGAGACCAGCATAGGCCATGCTGGTCTCTCCTTCTGTCAAAGTCAGTTTCCTTTTCCTTTAGGAGAAACACATAAGTTACTGGCTGAACACAGTTAAGTTACTTAGTACTTGCCGTTCTAAAAAAATCTGGCGACAGTGGTCATAGTGTCCCCTAAATGTAATCATTAGAAGTGCCATCTTTTGCAGTAGTAAGAACCTGATGTGCAGCTGAACAGTGACCCTACAGGACCACGCCGTATGTTATATGGCTGTGGAAGAGGGCGTGGTAAACAGAGAGGCCTATGCATGGTTCTACACCCAGCCTAAAAATGTAAATCTTGACCAAGCACAGTTTTTTTAAACGATCTAAACCGCTCACTTAGGCCTACCCTGCATTCACATTCGACTGTTGGGTGTTTCTGTCTTAAATTTTATTTATTAATTAGGCTAACCACCTCATCTATGTTGTTTCAAGTGAATGGTCAGAATCTGTTATTTATTACAGGTACTTGTCTTTGTTGTCGCTGTTTCTTGGTATTTCGTCCTCTCAGCGTCCAAAAGAGCTCACATCAGATACAGCATATAAGAGATTCGTCAAGCACCAATTCGTCTGGTCCACCAAAATGTCTTACCCACCAGACCAAGCTGCTTTTCAAGTTCAGGTGGGCCAAATATGAAAGAATCATTGTTTGTCTTTAATCCTCATAAAAAAGTAAACATTATATTAGCCTAATTTATCAACAGAATATAGTTTATTAACAAATTGTTAGTCATTGGAGTAGGCTACATTCTCTGAGATGTATCTCTAAAGTGATAGGTTAGCTTGTTCCATAAAGAAATTTTTCCTGAGATATTAAACTGTAAATAAGTTAAGGTAGGTAGCCTGTTTTTTACAATTAGGATATTTTTTCAACTTTTACACACACAAAAAATGGAACTAAGTTATAGAAGATGGTCAAATGTTTAAGCAATGTACATCATTAGCTGTTGAGGTAGGCCTACTTAAATCGGTAACAATTATTTGTTATGCTAAATTAATTCAATGTTACTACCCTCTCAGATTTAGGGTAATATTCACTTATGGTAGAATTTTGCCAGAAAGAGATACCGTAACATTGTAAATGTTTCTTTTAGGAGAGACTTAAGTCCCTGCATCACACTGTTTTTGACTTAGAAGAAGAAAGGAACAGAAGTGATCATACTCTGAACAATATCACTAAAACTCATGATAAAATCACAATGGAGGGCAAATTGACACCCTATCATCAGGTAACTAATTAAACTCGAACATTTAAACTATTTTTAGAACCGAAGATCAAGATAATGCTCAATATCTTAAGTTGATGTGTCCGCCCCTTCCCATCAAACAGATTTGGGTGCTGGTATTTTGTGCTAAAAATAACTTAGTATAGGCTATAAACAATTTTTAGTAAAAAAAAAACAAAATACAGACCCATTCCTCATTTCAATTACAGCACACATTTTAACTTAAATATTACTACAACCAGTAGCACTATGACACTTCCCCTGTTGGCTGGACAGTGGAGGAGGTGAACATGTTTGTACTCGAAAGTGTAGTGCGATCAGCTTGTACCTAGAGGCATCAGTCAAAAACGTTCCTTACTTTCTAAATAGCCCTTTTTGTAACCTAACCTTTAATTTAAAAAGCCAACCAAATCAAATGCTTGTTGTTAGGTTAATAGTTTGGTTTGGTACTATAACTTTGGCACATTTTAGCGAATTTCCCTATAGGGAAGTAGCTATTACCGTAGGTCTCATGGTAAGACCTAAGCCCGGGACCGATTTACTTTTTCATTTTGATGTCCCCAGAGGCCAAAAACACCATTCGTTCAAATTTTTATATATATATATATATATATATACTAGCTGACCCGGCGAACTTCGTATCGCCTAAGTTATAGGTTTCCCCTAAGACTGTGGAAAGAAAGTACCGTTACGTTTAATTTTCAAGATGATCTCGTTCGCATCGCTCAATCACGTCCTGGTTGAAGTTCGTTCGCTGCGCTCACTTGCCTTCAGGTTAGCTCGTTCGCTACGCTAACTCGCCTCCAGGTTGAAGTTCGTTCGCTACGCTCACTCACCTTTTGGTTGCAAATTAGCTGTTGTCATAAATGTAAAAGAAATAATAGTGCTGCACCCTGTTGGTAATCCTTGTAACTTTAATGCTATTGAACATCATAGAACAGAACCAACTTGTTTAATTGAAACAGCTGTTAAGATTCATTAATTCCATTTCTCATAAGGTTAACATGGGAAACTCCGGAGCCACTGGGGCGGAGCCCTTTTAAGAATTTCAAAACGGGAAATAGTTTACGTCCGATTCGCATACCTACAGAATTTACACACCAAATTTCATAACGATCGGTGAAGTCGTTCCGGAGGAGTTTGCAGACAAACACTGTGACACGAGAATTTTATATATTAGATATATATATATATATATATGTGTCCATCCGCACGATAACTTGAGTAATTTTTGTCCGATTTTGATAAAATTTGGTTTGAAGGTGTAAGGCGGGATAAACTTGAATGAGTTCGCGAACCAGCATGATCGGACTATGGGAACGGGGGTTTATGGGGGGTTTTATGGGGTAAAAATAGGTTTTTCCCATTTTTGATCCTAAAAACACAAAATTTCACAATTTCTTTTTAAACCATTTTGTAGAGCTTAAAAAAACAAATAATTTAGTATATTGAAGCATTATTATGCGCCTAATTGTTACGGAGAAAATTCAAAAAAATTGTAATTTTAAAATTCCCATGTTATTCTTATGGACAATAAGTCAACTGTTGTAGTTTGCTTGTTTATGAACATATTTTGATCAAAGTTGGAAAATACATTAATTTCTTACTAAACCACAGTACCTTTTAATATTATACATAAAAAAAACTTTTTTACCCTCCCTGTTGCAGCAAACCTAAGTACTCATTAAACTAATTCTGTTTAAATAGGGAATAAATGTGATATTTTTAAGGAGACATTTTAGTTTAAATCCAATCAGGCAAATGGAAATTCGCTAAGTCTGCAGGTTTGCTGCGGCGGGGGTATTGTTCTAATCAGGTATTTTCTAATCCTAATCACATTCGTAGTAGACCTAACTTTTTCACTTGCACAGAACAAATTGAAAGGACTGTACACGACAGCAGTGTCTGATGCTGAGCAGGAAGAGACTCTGATACGCCAGGCTCTCACCTACATCAATGAGATTCGCAATATTGTAAACGACCAGAGAATACAGGTAACCTATACTTTACATACAATCACCATCATACAGCAAATTTGTTATACAGGGTTATTACAAATGATGTTCCTGATTTTGATTATAAATATTACTGGGTTAATTTGTTTCAAGACAATTTTAGTTGGTACCATTGGAAAGAAAAACTCATAAAGTTTCATTTACATTGGTTTGGGTGCATATAAGCTGTTTGTCAAGTCAATTGTTGTAAGTGTTGTGTAATGGCTGAATTTGAAGGCAGGAAAGCTTTTTGCCAGTTGGAATATTACATTAACCAATCTGTTATTAGTGTGCAACGACACTTTAGAACCATGTTTAACGATTATCCTCCTAGTAACCACTATATTGGCAAGTGACACTTGAAATTTAAGAGAAATGGCTGCATTTGAATGTTACTTGTAGTAGGGCTGAACTTAACAATGTGCTGCCTGAGATATGGAACGAGCTCGGTGGTCCGAATAATGACGCACCCCTGAACTGGCCAACAAGATCTCCGGACATCACCCTCTGATTTTTTTCTTGTGGGGATACATCAAAGATAAGGCGTACACACCACCATTATCAGATAGCATACTTGAGATCCAGCAACAGATTACCAATGCTATGGAAACAATAGACCAAGACACATTTTCCAAAGTCTAGCAAGAGCTTGACTACATTATTGACATCTGTCGTACCACAAGGGGTTCCCGTATCGAACATTTACAGTTCTGTGTATCTTTGTCGAAACTTTTTGAGTTTTTCAAAAGTTGTAACCATTTTATTTCTTTGTATAACAAATAAAACTATATTTTATGTATGTATGAAATCATGAACATCATTTGTAATAACCCTGTATATAGTGAACAGTTTAGTCTAGTTTCACTAAGCCAGGTTAAATGTTGATCATTGGATTTTATTAACTAGGAAATGTAAATTTAAGCCTTCTGTAAGTTTACTTACATAAAATTCTTTTAATCTTGAATATATTTTATTCCGACCCGTCTTTATTAGCCTACTAAGATTATTTTTTTTCAAACTATTCAGAAGATTTAGGCTTAACACTTCACAGGCTGCTACAGTACCGGTAACTCCAGATATGGGAATGTGTGTTGCTTGGTATCTGTTCTATTTCTTATTTAGTTAAAAATTAAAAGGTCAAAAGAAACTAAACTGTTTTTAATCAAGACACTAATACAAGACAATATTATTAAAGAAAGTAAATAAAATCATATGGTTAAATATTAATTAAATAACCATAGAGGTTAAACATCTTTCCCTTTGAGTTTCTTTTCAGAGTTTAGTCAGGAAAACGTTTCGTAGGTCTTATAATTCTGCCTCTTGATGATTGTTTTATTGCAGCTTCTTGATTGGGAGTAGTTGATCGTGAAAAAGGTTTACTTTTATCTTGAGTTATTCTAGATGGTGTAGTAGTTGTTCTTTCAGCAGTATTTGATAGGGAAGAGTTGTTTTGAGTAACAGTAGTAAATGGCAGAGGATCTGACATTGTATCTTTGATGGACAAATGAATAGGATTGTTCGGTTTGGTTGTATTACCTTTGTAAGGCAAAAGGTGGTGTCGATTCCTTCTCATCGTAGTGTTTCCTGTCTTAACCCAGTATGACCTTGGCTCTTGTCCTAAGCTGATAATAATCCCCTCTCTTTTTAGGTCTTGGATCCATACTTTTTTACCTACAGGCAGCGATGGAAGTTCTTTTGTAGCGTAGCGCCTATCGTAGTTTCTCTTGTAAGATGCTCTGTAAGTATCTTCTTTTTCCTTTAGTTGAGAGAGATCGGGTTTGATTTCAAGTTTTTTAGGTAAAACAGGCAGGTTATCTCGCAGTGATCTGTTGTATATTAGCTGAGCACTGGGAATAATGTTTGTCTTAATTAAATGTTGAATACTTACTTGAATACTTGAATACTTGAAGGCTTCGTCTCTGACCGGGATTCCTGGATGTTGAGTGTTTCTATTTATTAATGCTATGTCAGTCAATCAGTCAAGTTAAGAGTTTGTTTCTGTCTTGATAGCTCTTCAGATCTACGGATAGTGTTTATAGCTGTGTTTAGTTTTAATTCGGGTTCAAGTTGAAGACGATCACTTAGTGTTTCGTCCCGCATACCAATAATCAAAACCATCAGAATCATATCCTCTTCAATTTGACCCCAATCACAGTTTTTTGCATGATTGTGAAGGTCTGTGATAAAGTTCTCAATCGGCATGGAACCTTGTGTAAGTTTCAGAAACCTAGCCCGTTCAAAAATTAAGTTCTTTTTAGGAAGGAAATGATCGTCAAACTTCTGTATAACAGCTTTGAAATTAGATTTGTCTTTGTCATTTAACCTGAATGAATTAAGTATGTCCTCTCCCTTTTCCCCCATACAGTAAATAAGCATGTCAATCTGATGCTTTCCAGAATGTAGAGCTAAATTACTAAGGGAATATTACCTCTCAAAACGAGTCTTCCATGTCTTCCAGTCGTGAGGGTTGAAGGAAAAGGCTTCAGGAGGCTTAATGTTCAGGGATACGGGTTCTTCATTTGACTGCGCCATGTTCTATTTCTTATTTAGTTAAAAATTAAAAGGTCAAAAGAAACTAAACTGTTTTTAACCAAGACACAATATTATTAAAGAAAGTAAATAAAATCATATGGTTAAATATTAATTAAATAACCATAGAGGTTAAACAGTATCTTATCTGTTGAAGATTCATTCAATTTCTTATGACAGTTTCTTAATATTGGAATAGGCCTACAGTAGAGTCCCGAAAACTCGGCACTTGATATCCCGGCAGTCTGGATAACTACACCTTTTCTAATTCTATTTCAGAACGTGTCAAGTCTATTTCAGAAAGCATCAATTGTATTTCAGAATTATCATTTTCATTTCAGAAAGTATCATTTGCATTCTAGACTAGTAACTTTTATATCAGAAAACATCAATTGAATTTCAGAAGTAGTCATATGTATTTCCGAAATTGTAGCATATACTTCAGGATTAGTCAATTGTATTTCAGAAATGATCGAATAGACAATTTTACACAGTTGTAGCGGATCTGATTCAAATTTAATTTAAAGAAGCCTAGGGTTATAACCTTATAAGTTTAGGTTAATTAGGTTAGCCTAGAAAAGTTTATCACATTTTTTCCTGATTGGACCAGGGCCTAATGAGATATTTTTCCGAGTTAATTCTCATCCTATGATATAAAAACTATACTAACTAAAGGTTTTTTCTCATCAAGAATTCATAGCTAATTCCTAATTCTGATGACAAAGTTGTTACCTAACACAAATTATTTCTGAAATACAATTGATATCTTCTAGACTGAAATGCAAATACTCATTTATGGAATATAAATGACAATTTCTGAAATAAAAGTGATGATTTCTGAAATTAAAATTACTATTCTAAAATACAATTGACACTTTCTAAAATTAAAATCTTACATCTGAAATACAAATTGCCATTTCTGAAATACAAATGACTATTCTGAAATACAATTGACCCTTTCTGAAATAAAAGTGGAAAAGGTGTAGACCATCACCTGGCTCAGAAAATTAGTGATTTTTTAAATCCGAGTACAACATGGACTCAAGCCAGCTCAAATCATTCGCAACTCGTACCAAGGATTTTTTGTACTATATCTGCTAAAAGGCTTAAAAATTTTATTGTTCTTATTTTTAACCCTAGTTCCCGATAACCCGGCATTTCACAAACTCGGCACCCTTCCAGTCCACATTAGGCCGAGTTTGCTGGACTCTACTACTGAAATACTGTATTATCATTTGTAGGCGTTGATCAATTCGGTTTTGTGGTAGGCCTACTAGATATTTTGGCTTTTTTTGTGAAAAAGTGAAAATTATTTTAAATCTAGAATTTGCCTGTCCATCCATACGGGCCTCAGGTCTCATACTGGAACTTGTACAGCAAAGCAAGGGGTGAGTCAACACAGTGGAGAGTCTACTGCTCAGATAACAGTCAGTGTCAGGTATCAAGTTGGCCTACACAAACCCACAACATTGCTGCTACGGGTTCTTCCAAACACCAAACAGCTTGCTCAATTCAATCACTGTAATGTTTGTTTTCCAGGCCCGAAGTGCAGGAAACAAGGAGACATTTGGCCGAGGCGATATGATGAACATGTTGATCACCTCAGCCCTGACGCTGCCGTTGTGGGTCGGTCGACCGGGTCAGAAAGTGCCTCCTCTGTGTGGCGCTGTACCTGCAGAGAGCTCCTACATAGCAAAGGTATTACCTGCACTGGTAGTTTACTGGTGGTTTAGTGCTAAATAGTTTGTTAATGCCGTAGCTTCACATCTCAGGACACTAGGATCTAGTCTGTAAAAGTTTTAGAGATTACTTCGGGCTATATCTAGAGGATTGAGGCATTATCAAATATCTGGGGTGCCATCAGGTGCATGAGAGATTTTGAACCTAATACCTGGGGTAGGTAGGCCTACTATTACTAGTCCGTTCACAAAATTAGGTAATATTTCTGGGTTTCTCAACCAATGTTTTTTGTTTGTTTAATATATGTTACAGCTTACTATTGTTTCAGACTGGTGACATGGTAGCAGCTCTGGTTAAATCAGAAGAAGAAAACTGGATTTTGGCTGAAGTAGTGACATTCAACTCAGCTACCAATAAGTATGAAGTTGATGACATTGATGAAGAACAAAAGGTAGGAAAAAACTAGATATCAGTGTTTGTATTACTGCTATCACTGTAAATATTTGTTCTTATAACTATCAGAATCAATATTTTTTGTCATGGCTATCACTGTTATCTTTTCATTTAATTTCCTATAGGGAATAAGCTATTACCGTAAGTCTTATGGTAAAACCTAGACCCAGGACCGATTTACTTTCAATCTGAGTTCGCCAAAAACACCATCCATTCAAATTCATATATGTATGTTGGGTGTGTTCATTAGTGAGATAACTGGAATAAAAATGATCCAATTTTGAAGAAATTTGTTTCATACATACATAAACCTGTGTTAATTTGAATGAGTTGCTAACCATCATGTTTAAACTAGGTGAATGGGGGTTTGATGGGGTAAAAATATGTGTGAAAATTGTAAATTTTTAAATTCTTATGTTATTTTTATGGAAGCTAAGCAAACTGTTGTAGTTTGCTTGTTTATGAACATATTTTGATCAAATTTGGAAATTTTTTTTATTTTCTCCTAACTATTAACGTTTTGCAGAAAAGTGCGCTCTATTTCCTTCCCTGCAACAGCAAAGTAACTAAGTAAGCTAAGTACTTGTTAAACTAATGTTAATTAAATAGTTAATTAATTAATAACCTGTATTCTAATTTGTATTCATTTAATTAATTATTTAGTTGCAAGTGGGGCTTTATTAATAAATATACAGATTTTACTGGTTCTACATAACTTTTATTAACTTCACACAATACTTGATTTACAGATTACATGTTCTCTATTTGAAGGCCAAAATCAGAGAGAGCGAATTAACGGTTTCGCTCCAAAATCCATGAATAAGAAAAACAAAGAATAAACTCCACGTCATTGCTTATAAAGTACAAAAGGAACAACATAGAGTAATGAGCTCTTACAATATAACACAACTTATAACACTTCCCTCTTTGACAAAAATAAAACTTATAACAATTCCTTCAAACAAAAAATAAAAAACTTTCCCCTTATATTATTTTTAACTTTTCCAAAATTAATATTTATACAGTGTTTATAAAAGTTATTCAATTCAAAAATTTAAATTACCAATTTATACATTGTTTATTGAAGTTATTCAATCTAACCCCTTACTAACAAAAACATAGTGACAATTTATTTACTCATTGAACATTGCTAAATGAAGTTATTCAATCTAACCCCTTACTAACAAATCATTTATTTACTCATTGAACATTGCTAAATGAAGTTATTCAATCTAAGCTCTTACTAACAAATCATTTATTTACTCATTGAACATTGCTAAATGAAGTTATTCAATCTAACCTCTTACTAACAAATCATTTATTTACTCATGGAACAATGATAATTATTGAAGTTATTCAATCTAACCTCTTACTAACATAACCATACTAACAATTAATTTAAAGATGAAACTGCAAATTGAAGTTATTCAATCTAACTTCTTACTAGCCTACCATACTAACAATTTATATAAGAAATTAGTAGACAAATACATTTGATCAGTTTCCACTCAGTTAGTTATTAGCTAATGTGAAAGTTACAACAATTAGGCTTATAAATCTTCAGATTTAATTTTCTTTAAAATGCAACACAAATAAACTATCTCCTTTAATAGTTTCTCCCTTACTAGCAGGGTTATTCTTTGAATAGCTTTAGGCTACAAGATTACATAAAAATTCCAAAACACAACCTTAGGCTTAGGCCTATAACAAAACTCACACCCAAAATAGGCTTAAAGAAACTAGCAGTTTACTTCTCCACTGCATTTTAACATAGGCTATGCCTAGTTACAAAACATTTAGTTATAGCATGAAAATATTAAAACTGGAAGGCACTTCCTAAAATGCCAATTAGGCTATAACACGGTTACAATTCAACAACGGAAAATAATCAATTCTTCAATCAAAATTAAATTACACTTGGCAAATATAAGTTTGAAAACATCTTTAAGTCATACTTCTACTCTTTATCTAGAAACCTCAATGGTTTTTTTATCTCCCTTCCTGACCTTGACACATATCTAGGTGATTTAGCTACAACTTCTGGAGATTTACTTTGATTTGGGCTCAATGTACTAACTGGTGACAACTCCTTAGAACTATTGTCAATAACTGGTTGAACAATAGGCGATTTACTTGGGCTGGACCTACTTGAATTACCTCCTATTCTGTAATCAACCAAATCATCATTGCTCTGACTAGACCTATTAGAATAGCCTACTTGTGCTCTGCTAGTGACACTGCTTGGACCTGAGCCGTGGGCAAGTTGAGCGCGCCGCTTTCACTCCCATGCATGCAAGCTCCCTCATTCCCCGCGACAGAGGCTCCCCAAAACCAGCACTCCCAGAAGGGGCAGTACTCAGAGAAACCAAATTCCTGCTGACTTTCTCCAAAACAGCTTTCTCACAGGGCGGTTTAGGCAAACTTTCCCCTTGTGAGCTACTTAGGTTTTTGGACAAAGTCCCAAGATTAACCCTCTGACGACACTCTCGTCTCAAGTGACCTGTTAGACCACAGCCAAAGCAAACAATAGGACGCCTCTGTCTCTGCGGTGTTTCAGGACCCTGACCCACGGAAGCTACAACGGGATGGAGAACAGTCTGGGGAAGATGCCCCGAAACATGCTCCCTCTGAAAATCAGCGTCTTGAACGCTCCGTGAAAGGATGACCAGCCTATCCAGGTCTGCAAAAGAAGAAGGCTTCGGAGCAAAAATCAGTCTGGACCGCTCCTCAGGCTTCAACCCCTGCAAGACAATGTCCACCAGTTGGTTTTCAGGGATGCCCAGCCGTAGGACACGCCACACGCCACAAATGTCACCCACATACTGACTGAGAGTTTCATCCAATTTTTGAGGTCGAAACACTCTCTCAACCTTCAATCTCTCCATGACCCTGAAGGGGACAAAGAGCTCAAGCACTTCACTGTGAAAATTGTCAAAATTTACTCCCCGTTTCAAACAATCTAACAATTTGTCACCAAGAGGTCTCAGGCAGAGTGGAACCAGCAGTTCCAACACTACTGAGTCCTCCATGCCTGGGAACTCCTTCAGGTGCAACACCTTTCCCAAAAACTCTAACAAAGGTTCCACCTCTAAACCATCAACCGGGCGAATGTCGCTCAAAACCCCAGCAATGGGATTGGGCAGTGGAGCAAACAAACCCATTTTGCTTTCAGTCAGTCGGTCTACCTTCAAAACACACACAAAAAATTTTTTTTTACAACGAACAATTCACAAACTTAACTAGGCCTAACTAAAGACTCTGGACTGAAATGCCTACAGTCAGATGAGGTCCCAAACAGAAGAACCTGCCCATACACACCGCCTTAGGCACCAAAACAAAAACACGGACTTACACTCACCACATACACACATACATACATACACTAAACGACAACACCTAACATTTGTGTGATGAGGTAAACACACACACACACACACAGTTTCAATTTTGGGTTTGGCCATGCTTTAGACACTCTTGCTCCCAAAGGATGCAAGTCATTAACCAGATTCCACCCGGTGACTCGGCCAAGGGCGAGCTCCTAATAAAAAACTACAACAACAGTGTGCTTACCCCAACACGACAACATTTCTTCAAAAAATTCCTAAGACTGCCAGACCAGAATCACCCAAAAATCAAATCCAACCACGGCCTTTCGTGGAAAGAGCACAAAAAACCACGCTCTGCTACCATCTGAGCCGACCCCTCGCACCGCCCCCAGACGAACAACTATTGGAAGCATGCCCCCCATAGTGACAGTGCGAGTGGCCGCCCCACATCCCTAACAAAAGTGAAAGGCCGTGGGTGAATATCAAAAACAAAACAAATAGTGAACAAAGCCTATAATTTTTCAATGAAATCAACAAAATAATCAACAATCAAACAAAGTAACCATCCAAAGAATTTTTCTTTTTTTTTTATCTCTTAAGGCTTTTTAAAAAAAATAAATTAATTAGAATTTTAAGTTTACCCTTCTAAACTTACAACTGGTACCAGTAGCAAAATTAGGCCTAACAATAAAAATAATTTTAAAAAAATGGTAACTGTAATATATAAACTTTAAATAAATTAACAATAAATACTTCACAATAACTAAAAAATAAATAACGGATCACGACTAGTAAGCTAAACCATAATTATTGGGGCTCCTTTTCAAAATTTCAATTCAGTCCAAAAATCTCAACAAATTTAAAATATGGTAACTTGCGGAACGTGGTCATTAGTCACATCACACTAATGGTGGGCGGCGGTGATCCATCCGGAAGATGGCGTAGGGCGGCATAGTAGTAGAAAGCAGATGAAGGCTTACTGGTCCCAGGAGCAGGGTAATGAGCAGCCCGAAGACGGAGAAGGAGTAGTGTCTCCCTGGGCGAACCTCTCCGGAAGCAGCAACCAGTAAGAGCCTCCCATCTGGGACCCTTTAAACAGTTTCCAGGTCTAACTAGTAGGAGTTCATATAACTGGAGTGTAACCTTAGGCCTACCTAGTTTTTTAAGCAAAACACTCCAAAAAACAGTTTCCGCCCCACTCGGACAACGTCCAAACCTTTAAGAGTGATTTTATTAATAATATTCTTCTTTTAAATTAGACTTTCCTTTATAAAACAGTATTTAAGAGTGATAAAGAGAAAAATGACTAGAAATAAATTAATTCAGTTCAATAAAGCTCTAAAACATAACAATAAATAGACTTTTAAATATCACTAATTTTAACAACACATTCTGACAGTAAAATTTTATAAAGATTTGAGTTCACAATAAAAATATGAATTATCTGGTCCAGAAGGGTAAAACACATTAATAAAACACAAAACAATTACATAAATACTACAATAAATACTTCAAAAAACAGTTTACACAAAATCTTAAAAATTCTTTGGCTGGAGGTGCATTTTCAGGTAAAACCGGTAATAACTCCGGTTATTACCAACCAAATTTGCTCAAAAAGCTTTTAAAAGTTGTGGCACAAGTGCCCGCAGCTTTTAAAAGACAAACCCATGCC